ACTAATTTAAAATTTGTTTAGCCAGATTCGTCCTAAACGGGGTCGTAATGAATGTGGTCAAGAATGTCTCGTATCCATCAATGTCTTTAAGGTATACACCTTTGTCGACTGAATGTACATAGGTATGACAGCTCATTTACATAGTGCACTCCACATTCCCCATTTCCACATAGACTGACTTCAGTTGTGTATAATACTCAATTGTCACTGATCCATTCTCTCTGCCAAGACCTGATTGTTTGTAACCCCCAAATGGTATCTCTGATGGTGTTAAATTAAACGTGTTGATCCAACAGGTACCAGCTTCCAGTTTAGATATCACTCTGTGTGCTTTCTTCAGATCACTATAAAGAAATTAAAAATAACATCAAGAAATACTTACCAAGGTTCCTATTCCTATGTTTTACTAAGATGCAATTATTAATTTGGTAAAATGAGGTAACTACTTGTTGTATTATTATTAGCAAATATACTAAGATTGACCAAACAGAAGCAGTTTCTTATGAAAAAAGTACTGTGGTATGTTGAATGAATAGAAAAACCCGGACTTAACCATGGTGTTCTTAGAATGAATGTCATTGCATAAAGTTAACATCTACTGGGGTAATTTTTAATATTCAAAATTTGTATATACCGGTATTTAAATATGCTCAGTTTATTCGTTAATTATCAAAATTAGAAGTGGTACAAAAAGTGCTGCATCAGAAACTGAACAGCTTTCTTATGTGTAGAGAATTGTGAATTAATCTATATTTGCTTCAAATACAGTTGGCAGCATGACAGTAATTGTGAAATGAATCGAAAAAGCAATCCAACCAGAAGCATTGCAATATTGATATGAGATTACACTTACATACTGTTACATTTTAACTATCAATATTCCACTTTTTTCTTGCAAAACTTCAAGCTATATTGCCATACTGCTGGTCGGGTTGTTTTTTGCTCACAGTAAATTAAGCATTATGGTCCAACATATTCCATATTAATTTGTTAAATTGAATATAATTGCTTTTCCTGTTACCATTTGCAGTTTTTCTATTTGCTATACCTAATTGTTATATCTAAATTTCTCAAACCACACAAATTTGCAAACTTCTTTCGAATTTGAAAAATTCAGATTTAAAAAATCATGAATTAATTTTCCCAGGCATGTTACTTTTGCATGTAAAAGTGATCTAAATATTCTTTATAGTAAATTTCAGGACAACTAACATCAAAATATTAAAAATATCAAAAATTAATATAAATTTAACAGATTCCATTTTATACTTTTCAAAATAAAAATGAGAGAAATTAAATATTCTGATAATCACTGACTAGAAGGGTTGTACAACCCTGATTGTTTACATTCTCATAACTGCCAGAAAATCTGTCTAAATAATAAATTTCATTTATTACTCATTAGGCTTAATTACAGATTACAGCCTCGACGGAAACTATAAGAGAATATACCTGGGACCAAAAAGAACACCCTGGGGTAACAATTCTCTAAGAAAAAGGCCCAGTCTGAGAGGTCACCCCATGGCTTTGAGCACCGTCTACCTGACGCCAACGCCAAGCGGAAAACTGTTTTCATAGTGACATATTTCATGTCTGCCTCTCCCCTAAGCTTGAAAGGTGGAGGTGTCGTAGTGCCAACACACAAATGACAAGTGTTAGTCTGGAGAACTTGTTAGAAAAACTTGTTAGAAAGACTTATTATAAACAATCATTACATGACCAAACTTGAGGCCAGTTTCAGCAGAACCTGATAAGACTGGGAACAAAACTGACATACATGTATATCTAAGTATCGTTGATATAGATTTCCCCTGATCAAAGAATCTGATGAAACATCAGATACATGTACCTCACTAATAAAGAGACTGAGATGATCAACCTCCCTTCCATTACACCAATCAATGTAAATTCCCCATCTCGACTCATACAAACGTCTGGTGTCATCCGACTGTGCCGAAGTGAGGAACTTGGACAAGTCTGCAGAAAAGCCTTGCGCTTGCATGAGTTTATCGACAACCTCCATGCGTGAAGATGGGAAAACGCAGGGCTCATTCAGAAAGTCCCATCCAGCTGAAACAACAGATCCAGAAGATATGGCAACTCCACTGGAGACTCGTCGAGAGACCATTTCGTCAAAAGTATGATGTGAATTGGCAGTGCTGAGTACCCTCCTCGAAATAATATCATTTTTTGCTCCTCCTTTATTGTAATATTAAAAATTAAGAAATCCGCTGCAATTAATAGTTAGTGGTTTGTTGATGTTAAATGGATAAGACTCAATTCACAGGTGTCATTCTTCAGTTAAGCAATACAATGTGACAGACTTCAGTCAAGTACTGGTGGAAGTTTTGATCTGCTCTTAAAACACGTCTTTAATTCCAAATAAGTGATACAATGACAGAATTGGTTCGGTGCCAGTTGGTAATGAGCTGATAATAGTTATTATTGTAAACACGGCGATGCATTTTAAGCAACACAAGGAGGAAATCAACATGTTGACTGATTGTAAATTTTTTTATTTTTCTAACAAATTTGCTAGGTTTATAACCTGCATATACCATTGGG